ATATATATATATATATATATATATATATATATATATATATATATATATATATATATATATATATATATATATATATATATATATATATATATATATATATATGTATATATATATATATATATATATATATTATTTATTTTTTTTTTTTTCAAAATTCAAATAAATCATTGCCTTCTCCTGTCTTCGTTAGTTTTAAAAACATTTTTTTACTATTAAAAACGGCATCTTTGGATATATTTAGCAAAAAAAAAACTTAAAGAACGTAAATAAAAAATCGTACACATACCTTAGGAATGGTATAGCAGAAATTTTTTAGCAGAAAAAATATATTAGGCATGGGCCGGTATAAGATTCTGATATAAAAACCTTGCACAAAAATATCAGTTTTTCACAGTATGACGGTATTGTGATGGTCTATATTTAAATGTCTGTGTAAAAAACAACAAGTTGTTTCCCATTGAACACAATATATTTTATTTAAAAAAAAAACATTTCAGATATTTTAAAGCAGTAAACATGTTTCAACAGTAAACATGGCTGAATAATTAAAATAAACAATAGACATCTGCTATCTTCATGAGTTTAAATAACTATTTGACAAGGTGTTTTTCAAATAAGCCACTGCACTGTTCAAGTCCATAACATGTTTGTATGTTGGTTTATTAGCGATTTGTTTTTACTTGTTTGCCGAATAGTGGGCTAAACAGCTTTTGATGTGGAGGTTCCTTTTCAGCTGGTGATACTGTTTCCATAAAAATTACCAGGTTTTAATACCTTGACTTTTTTCAAAACGTGGTAAACCTTGAAACCGGTGATCGTCCCATCATATATAATTAAAATATATATAATCAGTCTTAGTTTTTTCCTTCACTTTCGTCAATTGTTAAAACTTTGTTCCTCGCCACTGACTTGCTTGCTTTGGGACCTGTGCAGCTGCACGTCGATGGATTTGCGCTTCAGTGTTTGGACTTTCACAAGTGAAAATTAAACCACACTAAACTAAAGTTAAACTCTGAAAACCGGACTGACACAGTTTTAGTTTACTAGAACTTCTATGTTAAGCTGCTTTGACTCAATCTACATTTAAAAGTGCTATAGAAATAAAGAAAAATTAAACTGAATTGAAGTGAGATGGTAGTTTTATATCATTGTCCTGCATGCGTACACACAAACTTTGCATTCTTGTCTCTGATTAGTTTTTCCACGCCGACAGATAACCTAAAGCAGATATTTGGGTTATCTTAAAAAAGCTAGTTTTCTGCAGCAGGGATCCAGCCTGTGATTAAAGTGATTCGTGTGAAGAAACCTCTCCTTTAGTCAGAGATTTGGGGTCTGAACCCAGATTACAAGCGTTAGATTGATGCGTCTCCTCCCTCTGTTTCGCCTCACTGCTCTCTAACTATCCGAATAAAAGCCTGTGCCCGACACCCGGCCTGCTCCCAACCCCCTCCTGCGACCCCGGCGGCCGGAGGTCAGCGGTAATTAGCAGTTTTTAAACGACGAACTGGGAAAGAGGAGACAAGCAGGCTGGTATCCGTGGAGCAGCTATTAAAATGCTAATGAGGCCATAGATTGGGGTGCAGTTCTTGTCAGGGCGGCCCTTCAACAGCCCGTCAGATAGGTGTCTCTGAACTAGGGTTGGGCGATATGGCAAAAATGTAAACAAAAAGAAAGAAAGCTAAAAACCTGTAACTATCGACTTCCATAGTAGGTAAAATGAATACTATGGAAGTCAATGGTTACAGGTTTTCAACTTTCTTTGTATGAATATTAAAGGGCTACCCATGTTTATACTGTATGTCTGTGTATTTAGGTTATGATTGTCTCTGAATTATATACTGTGGAAGTCAATAGTTACAGGTTTTTAACTTTCTGTATATGAATAGAAAAGAGTCCCAACAATGACTGAAACCACAGTAATTTTTTGCTCATTACCACAGTAATAATAGATTACAACCCGTAGAACTACTGTAATCTCCCCATCTGTCTGTCTGTGAATATGTGTTTAGATTGTATGTATGTGTATTTTAGTTGTCTCTGAATTAGGGCTGAGTGATTTGGCGAATATGTAAACAAAAACAAAGAAAGCTGAAAACTTGTAACCATTGACTTTCATAGTAGGATAAACCAATACCATTGAAATCAATAGTTACAGGTTTCCAGTATTATATATGAATAAGAGCATCCCAACAATGACTGAAGCCACAGCAAATCGTTGCTCATTACCAGATTAATGATAGATTACAATCAGTAGAACTATTGTTATCTGTATGTCTGCCTGTCTGTCTGTCACTTCACGTATCTTTACTTTATGACTAATAATTATCTCCTACCAGTATATTTGAAGGGGTCTACTGATTATTACAAATAATTAAAAACGGCAAAAGAGCATATTATAATAATACATGCTTATTTTGTACATTTTATTTGGAACATTTAGTTTTTTAGCTTGTATGTCATTTTAGTTCCTTATTTTATATATAATATGGGGTGTCGTAGTGGGTAGCAATGTCACCTCACAGCAAGAAGGTCGCTGGTTTGAGTCCTGGCAAATCTGTGTGGAGTTTGCATGTTCTCCTCATGTTGGCGTGGGTTTTCTGTGGGTGCTACGGTTTCCCCCACAGTCCAAACACATGCGCTATAGGGGAATTAGGTAAGCTAAATAGTCCGTAGTGTATGAGTGTGAATGAGTATGTATGGGTGTTTCTCAGTAATGTGTTGCAGCTATAAGTATAGTTCCTTAAGGAAAAGCAGACCTGGGGCAAATTAAAGGGGTAGCTCACCCCAAAATGAATAATCACTCACTATTTACTGACCTTAAAGTGATTATAAACCTTTATGAGTTTTTATTTCTTCTGTTGATAACAAAAGAAGATAATTTGAAGAATGCTGAAAAACCTGTAACCATTGACTTCCATAGCAGGAAAAACAAATAATATGGAACTCAATGGTTACAGGTTTTCGGATGTCTTCAAAATATCTTCTTTTGCATTTAACGAAATGAAGCAAAAGTTTAAAACAAGTAAAGAGTGGGTAAATAAGGACAAAAGTTTCATTATTGGTTGGACGTTTTACAAATTACAAATGTAAATGTTGTTGTGACAGAAGAAGGTAATTGAGAGTGTCAAATTTAAACGTAGAACTGTTGTAAACATCATTTGTAACACTTAAAACTTTCACTCGTGTTTATTTCTTGTTTTTTGCCAGAAATACACGTGTAGATGGGCGGCATAGTTGATCAGTAGTTAGCAATGTGGCCTCGCAGTAAGAAGGTCGCTGGTTTGAGTCCCGGCTGGGTCAGTTGGTATTTCTGTGTGGAGTTTGCATGTTCTCCTAGTGTTGGTGTGGGTTTCCTCCAGGTGCTCCGGTTTCCCCCACAGTCCAAACACATGTGCTATAGGAAGAATGGGATCAGTGCCCAGAAAATAAACTTTTTGAAATTCAGCAAGAAATAGGAAATCTAATTTATTTTTTAAGTCAAGTCACGATGAGACTTTTAATTATAAAGACTTTTTTTTAAAAATATAGAAAAGTGGTATTTATAAAATGTGGTAACCTTGATCTGTTTTTGCCATGACACAGCCATAGAAGCTGAAATGGCAATCAAAATAAAAACTCTATCTCTCTCATGCGCTAAAGGGCAATTAAATGAACGAAATTAGCCAGAGTGTGTGTGTGAATGAGTGTGTATGGTGTTTCCTAGTACTGGGTTGCAGCTGGAAGGGCATCCGCTGTGTAAAACATATGCTATAGTAGTTGGCAGTTCATTCTGTTGTGACAGTTTCTGAAAAATAAGTTACTCGGCCGACGAAAAATGAATGAATAAACAAGCGTAGATTTAAAGGGAAACTTCACCCATGAAAATGTCCTCATCATTCCCTCATATTCAAGTGGTTGTAAACTGATTTTATTTCTTCTGATGAACACAAAACTAGATATTCTGAGGAATGTCAGAAAAGAGCAGCCGTTGTTGACATGGTAAGAACAACAACAACAAAAAATACTATGGAAGTCAATGGCTGCTTTCCAGCATTCTTCAGAATATCTTCATCTGTGTTCAACAGAAGCAAGAAACACAAACAGGTTTGGGACAAGTGGAGGATGAGTTAAATGTTTCATTAGTGGGTGAACTGTCCCTTTAAGAGGTGAATTAAGGCTACATTTACATGGAGTTTGCATGTTCTCCATGTTGGCATGGGTTTTCTCCTGGTGCTCTGGTCTCCCCCACAGTCCAAACACATGCGCAATAGATGAGTTGAATAAGCTAAATTGGCTGTAGTGTACGAGTTTGTGTGTGTCTGTTAGATTGTATGGGTGTTTCCCAGCACTATGTTGCAGCTGGAAGGGCATCCGCTGCATGAAACATATGCTGGAATAGTTGGTGGTTCATTCTGTTGTGGTGACCCTTGATAAATTGGAGAACAAGCCGAAGGAGAATGAATGAATGAGTATAGACAAGGCAAGTTTATTTATATAGCACATTTTATACACAACGGTAAATCA